AAGGAGAAGTCACAGAGGAGAGAAAGGCAAGAAAACTTCTGGCAGATTGTTTCCAGGCCAGCAGTGGTAAGGTCATTTCCATTGCCACCCTCCCCACAGGAATTCACACCTGCTGCTGAGACGGAGTGAGAGGAATGTGAGGGCAGGCACAGGGCAACCAGTGTCTGGGTTCAGCCCAGGCAGCGCCTGGGGCAGATAGCAGGCTGAGTGTAGGCCCCAACATTTAGCAACTTACCAGTTGTGTATATGTGTGTCTAACTAGCTTGCATAATGAGTTCCCTTACTTCCCATGGACATTTGATAAAGATGGGTTTTGGTTGTGTGTGTGTGTGTGTGTGTGTGTGTGTGTTGGAAAAGATCAACCAATCCAGGTACCAGAAATATCCACAAACAAGTTTCCTCATTACTGTTGAAATCTAGGTCTGGTTTTACTTTCTCTTTCATGGAGGAGGAAAAGCAGGGCATTTACAAGGGTCTTAATAATGGAATGGAAATGACCCAGTAGGGTCAATAAACTTGAAGACAAATCAATAGAAATTATCCAATATAATCAACAGAGAGAAAGATGACTTTAAAAATCCAATGAGATTCAAGGACCTGTGCACAGTATCAAAATTCTACATTTGTATCATTGGAGTCCTAGGAAAAGGGAAAAAAAGATGTTGGTACAGAAAAATAAATGTGAAGAAATAATAGCTGAAAACTTCCAAGATGTTGTGAGAAACATAAATTTACAGATTCAAAAAGGAGAGCAAATCCCAGTCAATATAATCTCTGAGAAAACCATGCCTGTACCCAGTCATATCATAATAAAATAGAAAACAAGCAAAATGATGAAAATTAATGAAGCCAAAAGCTGTTCTTTAAAAAGATCAACAAAATTGATAAATATCTAATGGGATTAATCAAAAAAGAGAAAAGAAACAAATTGCCTATATGAGAAACAGAAGAGGGAATATCACTGCAGACTCCTCAGAGTCTGCAAAAGACTAATAAGAAATACCATGAACAACTTTATGCCCATTAATTTGGAATGGGCTGGTTCCTGGGATGGGGGTGGAGATGGGGAAGTGGGAACAAGCAACCCAGCAACCAAACTCAGTTACAGAGAAAGCGATAACATGAATGTATGGAACAAATTTAATTGTAGTTAACAAAGCAAAGCAATTTTCCAACAAAGCAAACTATAGGCACAGATTATTTCACTGATTAATTCTATCAAATATTTAAGTAAGAAATAAATCCAATGACACAAGCTCACCCAGAGAATTTGAAAGGCAGGACCACATTACAACTAATTTTAAGAGCCTATATTTATCCTGATCCTAAAGCAAGAAAAATGCCATGTAAGAAAAAAACTACACCATTGTGGAAAACAGTATGGAATTTCCTCAGAAAGTTAAAAAGGGAACTGCCTTTTGACCTGGCAATTTCACTGCTGGAATTATACCCTAAGAATCCTGACACACCAATTCAAAAGTATCTAATCAGCCCAATGTTCACAGCAGCACAATTTACAATAGCCAAGTGCTGGAAACAGCCTAAGTGCCCATCAGTAAATGAGTAGATCAAAAAACTATGGTACATTTACACAATGGAATACTATGCAGAAGAAAGAAAAAAGGAACCCCTACCCTTCAAGACAGCATGGATAGAACTGGAGAGCATTATGTTAAGTGAAATAAGCCAGGCAGTGAAAGACAAATGCCATATGATTTGCAAAAAAGAACCAGAGACTTGAAAATAAAGAACAAACTGACAGTAACTAGAGGTGGGGGGGGGGGTGGCGGGAGGGGTATAACAGGGCAAAGAAGAGGAAGGGTTGTCAAGGAACATGTATGAAGGACCCATGGACAAAGACAATGGGGGGGGGATTGAATATGGGAGGTGGGGGTGGGTAGGGCAAGGAGAATAATGGGGGAAAATGGGGGGAACTGTAATTAAACAACAATAAAAAATAATAAAAATAAAGAAAAAAACTGCAAACTAATGTTCTCATGAACATAGATGTAAAATCTTCAACATAATTTTAGCAAATTGAATCCAGCAACACATAAAAAGATAATACATCACAGCTAACTGAGGTCTGTCCTAGGGATACAAGCCTGGTTCAATATCCAAAAATTAAGCAAAGTAATCCACCATATTAACAGACAGGAGAAAAACCTATATGGTCACAGAACATACAGAAATAACATCTGACAAAATTCAATATCCATTCATGGTAACAGTTCTCAGCAAACTAGGATTAGAAGAGAATTCCTTAAGGTAAAATAGGGCATGACAAAAAACTTAGAGCTAACATCATAGCTAATGACTTAAACTGAATGATTGCCTTCTAATATGAAGGACAAAGCAAGGATGTCTGCTCAAACTACTTCTCTATTCACCATTATACCCAAAGCCCTACCCAGTTCAACAAGACAAGCAAAAAAAAAAAGATATGCAGTTGGAAAAGAGAGATAAACAAATGTTCCAACTTGCAGATGACATGAGTGTCAACATAGAAAAATGCCTTAAAAATCTACAAAAAAGGCCTTAAGGTTAATAAATAGCTTCAGTAAGACCATAGGACCCAAGCCCACTATCTAAAAGTCAGTATTATTTCTATATATCGGTCAAGAATAATTGGAACCTAAAATTTTGGGAGGAAGGGAGTATTAAATAGCTCAAAGAAAAATGTAAAATATACAGGTATAAATCTAATAAAAAATATGTGTAGGACTATATGCTGAAAACTATAAAAAATTAATGAAAGTAATCAGAGAAGGCCTAAATAAATGGAGAGATATATCATGTCCGTGGATTGGAAAACTCAGTTTTGGTGTAGTTTTCCTCAGATGGACACTGAACTGCATGATAAGAATGCAGTAGCGATCCGGACAGTGTGGCAATGGCGGAATGATAGGCACCATAGATCAGTGGAACAGTAGAGAGTCTAGATAAAGATTCAAAAACACGGTCAATTGATTTTTTTTACAACAGTGTAAAGACAATTCAATAGAGAAAGGTTATTCAACAAATGGTTCCAGAATAATTGGACACTCACAGATGAGGAAATAAATCTCAGTTTGTATCTCAAACCTTATACAAAATTAATTCAAAATGGGTCATAGACCTAAATATACAACTTTAGTAAGAAAAATAGTAGAAAATCTTTGAAAGTTTAAATTACGCAATACCTATATTTCTTTGATATAAAGTACAAACCAAATAAGAAAAGTATGATAAACTGGACACCACCAAAATTTAAAACTTTTGCTCTAGGAAGAACATCATGAAGAGAATGAAAACATAAGCTGCCAACTGGGACAAAACATTCACAACCACATGGCCAACAAAGTTCCTATATCCAGAACATTTAAAGAGTTCTCTTAACTTGAAGATAAGAAAACAATCCCAATTTTTTAAAATAGGCAAAAAATTTGAAGTGATACTTCACCAGAGAAAATATATGACTAACAAACAAGCAATTAAAATGATACTCAACATCATTAGTCATTAGGGAAATACAAAGTAAAACAATGTCATATCACTGTAAACCTATTAAAATGGCTATAATAAAAATTTTAAAAACTGACAATACCAAGAACTGCTGATAAAGAGAAGCAATTGGATTTTTTATACATTGCTAGTAGTAATGCAAAATGGATGGTCAGTCTGGAAAATCTGACAGTTTTTATAAAGTTAAGTTTACATTAACAGTATGACTCAGCAGTCTTTATTCTAAGTATTACCCCAGAGAAATCAAAACTCTTAATCACACAAAATCCTGTGCATGAATATTTATAGAAACTATTCATAATTGCCAAAAGCTGGAAATAATCCAAATGTCCTTGAAAAGGTGACCAGATACACAATCTGCATTATGACTATTCAATAGAGTCTTTCTCAGAAAAAATAAAAAAAGAAGAAAGAAAAAGAAAGAAGTGACTTATTGATCACTTATTATGCTGAGTGAAAGTAGCCACACTCAAAGTGTTAAATACAATATGGTTTCACTTGTATGACAATTCAAAAAAGCAATATTCTGGGGACAGAGAACAGATCAGCGGTTACGAGAGCACAGGGTGGGTGGGGTTTGGCCACAGCAGGGAGCACAGGGGAACTGTTTCTGGTGAGTATAGAGTGTGAGTTGATCATGATAGTAATTGTATGGCTCCATCAATTTTTTAAAACTCACAAAACGATAAACAAGGGAAAAAATTGAGTTCTATTGTATATAAATTAAAAATAAAAGGGCACTTGGACTAGCTACATGAATATCAAATAAAATAAGAACAGAAATCAATGAAAAAGAAAAAATAATTAAGAATATAAATTTAACCAAAAACTGGCTCTTCAACAGATTAAGAAAACTAATAAAATTCTTGCCAGATTGATCAAGAAAAAAAGACATAAATTAGTGTTTTTGAAAAATAATTTTAGAGAGAGAAAGAAGGAGGGAAAGAAAGAGAGAAACATTGATGTGTTGTTCCACTGATTTATGCATTCATTGGTTGATTCTCATATGTGCCCTGACTGGAGATGGAACCTGCAACCTTGGTGTATCAGGATGATGCTCTAACCAACTGAGCGACCCAGCCAGGGCCACAAATTACTGTTGTCAAAAGGATCATCACTATAGATGGAACAGACATTAAAAGTATAACAAGGAAATATAATGAACAACTTGAGGCCAGTGAATTTGACAACTTAGTTGAAACAGACAAATTCACTGAACGACATAATCTTCCTCAGCTAATAACTACCCATAGATAACCTGAATAGACACATAGTTTTTAAAGATTCTGTGTTGGAAGGGGAGGGTCTTTCTCTTACAATAACTCCAGGCCTAGCTGCCTCCACTGATGAAGTCTGCCAAAGATTTATGGAAGAAATAATACCAACTCCACCTAAGCTCTTCTAGAAAATAGAAGAGGAGGGAACACTTCCCAGGCCATTTAATTATTTCATAATTTTGAAAACATCAAATGGAAAGCAGTGCTCTCCTTACTTACAAGGCGCCCACATCGAAATCATTGCCTGAGGACTCCTCCAGCACACTTGTGTCCAGGGACGAGTTTCCCAGAGCGCCACTGGCCCCCTGAGCAGCAAAGGTAACATGAAAAGTTTGAGATTCAGGAAGATTTCACAATGGCTAATGGCTAAAAGCATTGATATGCTTGCACCCAAGAATTTCAACACAACTAAGTGGCATAATGCATTTATTTCCCATTCAAATATTTCCTTCAGAAATCTCTTTGGATGTCACCTTCCTCCAGCAGCCTTCCCCAACTGCCCAAAGCCAGTCCAGGTGCTTTCTTTAACATCATGTGCTTTGCCTTATACACTAGTATGATTGTTTGGTTTTGCGTTTGTCTCTTTATCTAAAGACTTTAAGGGCAGGGACTGTGTCTTTCTTATTGTAGCCATAAGACTCTTTTTTATTGGAAGGATGGATGAAGGGATGGCTGGTTAGAGAGGTTTTTTTCATTAAGTTCAACATGAAGTTCAGTATCTTCCTTCACATTTTGTTAGACTTTCCAAATGTAACACAATATTTTTGTTCTTTCTCTTGGTTTAAAAAAAAATGAAAACAAACTTACCGGTTTCATTCTGTGTCTTAAAAAAGTTACATTTTTTAATGTAAATATAGAAATATATTACAAAGAAGATAAAACAGCCCTGACCGGTGTGGCTCAGTTTGTTGGGCATCATCCTGGAAAGGGAAAAGTCACCAGTTCGATTCCCCATCAGGGCACATGCCTGGGTTGCAGGTTCAGTCTGGACAGGGCACGTATGAGAGGTAACCAATCAATGTTTCTCTCTCTCATCAATGTTTCTTTCCCTCTCTTTCTCCCTCCCTTCCCTTCTCCCTAAGAATAAATAAATAAAATCTTTTTAAAAAAAGATAAAACAATCTTTATTTGCATATAACATGACTCTACCTAGCAAACTCAAGAGAAACAATGGACAACAATGACAGATAATTAGGAAAGTCAATAGAGTAGGTGGTTAAAATTAAATATAAAAACTAGTTACTTTCTTATATATAAAAAAGCAGTCAATCATTTCAATAAATAACAATGAAAAAAGGTAATTCTATTCAAAATAATAAAAAGCACAAAATATCTAAACATGTATTTCAGAAGGGTCGTAAGAGATTTGAACAAGTGCGAAGACTTACATTGTTCTTGGGCTAAAACTGTCAATATTGCAAAACTTTTACTATATATTATTTAGGATGTCTGCCAAACTTATATATTCATTTTCTGAGAACTTTCCCCTTATGTTTTAACACGCAATCTCTGCAGGCACTTGAGTCCAGGAGAACCAATCCATTAGTTAGCCAGTAGCCAATTAATTCAATTGTTTCTCCCAAGAATTTGAACTAACAGACTTTAAAGCTGGTAGTTAGGATTAAGTCATGTAATAGCTAAGGCAGAGGACAAGAGTGATCATCTAATATTTCTGCCATGTGTACCCAGGTCCTTCTTGATTTTTAATCCGTACTGAGCCTGGTTGTTCCACTTTGGCTTTAATTACATAACAGCCTCTTTATATACCTAATAAACCATATGAATTGACTTGTGTGTTACTTGAAATCAAATAATCCCCAAGTTAAAGTGTTCTGAAATTCTTCTGGAAAAATAAATACTCAAAAATCATCAGAATAATTGTGGAAGGGGGGGTGAGGATAAATGAGTACCAAGAAACACACAAATGGACACATCAGAGAAATGCAAGTTCAGAGCATAACAAGAAATATGACATGTATATGGAATATATAAGGACTCTTTAGTACATGACAAACATATCCTTTCATACCAGTAAGAAAAGATTATTTAGTAAAAGTTGTGCAGAAAATTGGTTAGACATTTGGAAGAAAAAAACCTGGATCATTTTCCTGCTTCAACACCAAAATTCCAGATAGATCAAATATTTCAACATAAATAAAAGAAACCATAGAATGAAAACATGAATGACCATTCTTATGACCTTGAGATAAAGAAGGATTTTCCAAGCATGGCATGAACACCAAAACTATAAAGAGATTGGTAAATTTCACTTCATGTTGGGTTGGCCAAAAAGTCCATTTACTTTTTTCCATAAAATAAAAAACACATTTTTCATTTTCACCAATAACTTGATTGATTTGGATATTTTGAGTATGCTGGCTATCTCCCGCTATTGGCTTCTAGTGGACAGAGGCCAGGGGTGCTGCTAAACATCCTCCAATGTGTAAGACAGCCCCACGGCAAAGGATTATTTGGCTAAAATGTCAATAGTACCAAAAAACTTCGCAAACCACTTTTAATATGTTTCGTCAGTCACAGCACCTTCTCCATACACGTGCAGAAATCTCTTGCATTTCAGTTGCATTCTTACCTTTCTTGAAATAATAAAGCATAATGCACTGAAAATGTCAATATTTTCTTACATCTTCAATATTAAAATGCCCCAAAATTCACCAATTTTGGTGTTTTTTAATGTACGCTGATATGACAGCTGTCACCACACAATCTAATAAAACTGTTTCTAATGAAGGTAAAGATAGCTAAGTACTACTAGAGCCATCTAAGGAAAAAACTTTTCCTTAAATGAACTTCTTGGCCCACCCTATACATTTTTCGAGAGGAGAAAGAACTTTTAATATTTTCATTTAAAATAATTACTAACCTAAAGAAAAGTCACAAGAAAACTTATATCCTTCACTCATATTCACCAATTATTAACTTTGTGGGGGGTTCCCAGATTCAGTTTAAACGTGTCACACTTCGATTCCCTACCCCCCACACCACAGTCCCGCATGTAATCCGGGCTCCTGTGTGCAGATCACTGCGCTAGTTACAGGAGTCCATTTTATGTTTAGGTTTTGACTTCCTATCCCATCCAAAGTCATTAAAATAAAATTTTAAAAATTTTGAGCACCTCCCAAATGGGAAAAATGTATGGGTATGAGAGACAGGTAGGAGGAAGGGGGGAAGCAGGAAGAAGGAAAGAAAAAGGAAGAGAGATTACCAACTCCATCCTGTGGCAAAAACTAAAGGGGGAAACAGAAGATATTCCTAAAGGTTGAGATGGTCAGAAATGACCTCATAATGGAGTTAAGTCTTGAGCTAGACTTTGAAGTATGGATGGGATGGAGATGAGCAGGGCAAAACTCATTCATTCTTTCATTGATTCAACCACCATTTATTAGGGACTTCCCATGTGCTCAGCACTGTACAAGATTCTGAGGACACAGCAGTGGGAAATAAAAAAGGACAGGCTCCCCTGGGGGCTGTGAACTCTAAAGGAGGAAAAGGTAGCAAACGTGGGGCCTGGAAGACTAACCATGACCATGAGAAGCAATAAACATACAGGGCAGTTTTGGACATTGATGAAAATGAAATGAAGTGGTGTAATGGAGTGTTGGGAAAGAGCTCTTTTCATTGGGAAGGTTTGCTTAGGAAGCAGCCAGCCATGGAAATACGGAGGGCAGAGCATGCCAGGCGGAGGGAATGGCAAGGACAAGAGCCTGCAGCAAACCACACTGGTGCGTCCAGAGCATGTGAGCCCAGGGAAGGGGATAGGAGAGGCAGTCAGAGCCATGGAAAGCCTGTGGAAAGTGACATGGTGTGCTTTACATTTTTAAAAGGTCAGTCTGATTGCTTTGTGGGAAAGGAGTACAAGGGGACAAGAACAAAAGAAGGGAGATCAAGTCAGACACAATCACAGCTGTCCAGGGACATTCAGAGGCAGACGAGTTCTTACTCTGAGCCAAGCAAAAGGATAAGCATTTCACCTGCATTTTCCCATTAATTCTCACAACAGCCCAAGGAGGTGGGCACTAACGTCATCTCCAGTTCACAGGAAAGGTGACTCACCAGGGTCACACAGCTAGTCAACGACATGCAGGGAAGGCAACCAGGCCTGCTGTCATTCCTGGGCCTGCTCTCTCCACCACCCCACCATCACCTGCACGCCCACCTCCTTCAACACCGACCGCAGGGAAGCATCTTGCTTCTGGTACTTCTCTGGGCTTTGGGCAAGCCGAATGCTAAAGGAAGCAGATGGAGGAAAGGATCTGTCTGGTTTCCCACTGAAATCCCTGCTGGTGCCCCATCTGCTTTATGTAGCCCCCCTTCCCCAACACACACACACACTTCCCAGGAACAAATCAGAGGTGGCCCATAGATGCTCAGATCTGACCAATGTGCCACTTGCTTTACAATGCCCGCTGTTCCCCACGCCCATCCCCAGGCAGAAAGAACTAGGAGACAGTCCACAGCTGTCAGGACCTGCCCCATGCGGCTTGTCCAAACTCCTTAATGAGCAAGGAGAGATGATCCCTGCAGAAGTCGGCTCTTTCTAGGATTCCAACATCACACCTGTGACTTCTAGACCCAAAGGACATTATTCAACAAGATAAATCTCAGTGTCAGAGAAAACTGTTTCCAGGAGGCCTTTATACACACAGGGCCACTCTCTAATAGCTGTTAAAGTAAAGATCATGCTTTTAAAAATAATCACTTTGCTCTACATGTCTTAAACAGTGGTTTATAACACCAAGCCAAACCTGTCAGGGAAGCTCTGTTTCGAACCTTGACTGTTCCCTTCCCTACATTTATCTTTGCACCTGGGAAGGGCTGTCACAGTCCGGCTCCCAAAGGGAGAAGCTGCCCGGCCTCCTGGGAGGACAGCGAACTGCCCCTTTATGGCTCTCAGAACGCAAAGCCCTTCTTCACCCTAGTTCTCTGCCTCCCCTTCCAGGCACAGTGACAGCTGCAGGATGGTCACCTGCCCTGCTGCACTGGCCTTGGACAGATGAGAAAAAAGCACACAGTTATGAAAAGAAACCCATCAGGGAATGCCACAGACAAATCCACGCTGCATTCGGAGGACCTGCTAATGGACATGCATGTGCCTTTGGGGAAATGGTGCTTCTCCGAAGGTACAAGCAGGCTAGGCACAGCCTTTCCTTACCCGCTGCTTCCCCCCACCCCCACCTGCGCAACCATGTCCACCAGCCCCCTGTGAAGACCTTGTTGTTTCCATCTGATGGGTTCCCTTCCCACACACTGTCCCCTGCCCCCATGCCCCCGTCCCACTCCTTCTTTATCTACTCTTACAGCCTTTGTCCCACAGCCCTGGTGCACAGAGTGTTCCGACCATAAGCAAGCTGATGACATTTGTCTCTTATGGCAACTCTAGATTTTTAGACAATTCTAAAAAGCAATTGTGAGGATCATCCTCAGGGTTGCCTTTGGATTTAAACATCAAGATCATTTCCCTCTGACATGCCAGTGTGGGTGAGAAAGTGGAGCAGAAATGTCAATGGACGTTCCAAAGGAGGAGGAGGAGAGGTGGAAGAAGAGGAGAGGGAGGAGGGGAGACTCTGCTGTCGGTGTTCAGAGCCACAGCCAGGTCAGAGTTAGACAACTAAAGATGGCATTTCCCCATAGACATTGCCAATCATTAACTGACTAATTGTTGACTCATTTACTCAACATTTACTTAGCATCCACGATGTGCCCAGGAATAAAATCAGGGAGGAGCTCACAGTCCAGAGGGAGGGACAAGAAAATTAGCTATAGCAGCACAGGATGTCCAGTGTTAGCATGGATCCAGA